ACACACTCATACCCACATACATACACACTCATACACACATACACACACATATGCACAAACTCACACACACATACACACACTCATACACACATCCATGTATACACACACACACATACTCACGTGCACACATGCAGATTCACAATTTAAAGAGCAAGAGAGTCTGGCGAGATGGCTCGGGGGTTAGGAGTACTGATGTTCTTGCGGAGGACTGGGGTTCAGTTCCCAGTACCCACATTAAGCAACTCACCAAACCACCCTTGTCAGGGGATCTGACACCCTTTCCCAGCTCCACAGGCACCTGCATGCATGGGATGCACTCAGGTCCACATATAGACATATACATCTTTAAAAAATAAAAGAATATAATTTTAAAAATCAAAGTGGAAAAGTAATGGCCTGCAAGAACATTAAAATGGTCTGCTACTGTTCTCTGAATGCCCTCCACGATGCCCAGATGAGCAACCAATCCTGTCTTTAACACATCTTACACAACAGGAGACTGAGGCATGGAGACTGGCTAATTAGGTAGCAAACCAAAGAGCTGACATTTAAGCCCAGCCAGCCTGATTCTAGAAGGTGCTACCTTCAGCCATCATGACACAGCAGTCACTAAATGACACCATGCCTGTGAAGGGGACAGACACTTAGCCAAACAGCTGGCTCCCCAGTGTCTATAAGGAAAAGCAGAAGACAGTGGGATATTATTTTTAAGGTGTTCAAATAAAGCAATCATGGCCAGCCACTGTAGATCAGGGCAAAATCTTTTTTGAGAATACAATAAAAAAAGACACGGCAGAGAAAAACAGAAGTTACCCTTCTTGATAATTGCATGTTACTCAGTAAACAAAATGTACTTAAGGCAAAATGAACCAAAAAGACAAAAAAAAATGCAAAATGCTAAAGGATGAACCTTAGTTGGAAGGAAAAACAAATTATCCCACACAGGAAAGATGAGTTGTGGTGAGAAACTTTGAGCCAGGAAAAAGAAAACTACCGTGTTCGCCGGGCGGTGGTGGCGCACGCCTTTAATCCCAGCACTTGGGAGGCAGAGGCAGGCGGATTTCTGAGTTCGAGGCCAGCCTGGTCTACAGAGTGAGAGTGAGTTCCAGGACAGTCAGGGCTACACAGAGAAACCCTGTCTCGAAAAACCAACCAAACAAACAAAAAAAAAAAAAAAAAAAAAAAAAAAAAAAAAAAAAAAAAAAAAAAAGAAAACTACCGTGTTGAACCTAAACATTGTCTAGAATCGCGACAGTGTGTAATTTGGGGGATTAAAAACATAAGAAAGGACCAATTTACTGGATAACAATGGCACACAAATTGGGAAGGAGCGTGCTAGGAATTAAAACATCCCAAGACCCTTGTTCCATTCCGGGGAAGATGTATCCTTGGGCAAGTGAATTATTCGTGTTAAAATCCCCAGGAAAGCCAGTGAACCGGTCCAAGCAAGACACAGCAAAATAGAACAGATGCAGACAAACCAGCAGTTACAAGAATGCACTCGAGCCTGCATGCAGTCTCAGAAGCTGAGGTAGGAGGATCATGAGTTAGAGGCGTGCTTGGGCTGTCTACTAAAGTCATATCTCAAATGAAAAGAACTAAAACATAAATGAATTAGTATTCCAGACAACTATACAAATGATCAGGTTTTTAGTTATTTATTCACTGATTAAGGAAAAAGAATGTTTATTTGCTCCACTTCAAGGAGTTGCAGGGGACAAAAAAAGAAAAAAGAAAAAAGAAAATCCTGTTATAAAAAATAAACGCCGTTTCTAAAATATAATGAGGCGAAGAGACAAAAATGGGGTGATGTGAGATTGGTCATACGCCAACCACAACGAAAGACTGCAGCGGAATAAACAGCGAAGAACCAGAGGCTTCAGAGCCAGACGAACACCATTCCAAAGACTTCACAACTCAGCGAGACTCGGGTCTACCACAGAGCTACAGCTCGGAACTTATAAGCATCCAATAACATAATCTCAAAAGCTAGGAAGCAAAAGTTGACAGAGCTACAAGAAAAAGACAAATTCACTATCACAACAGGCCCGTGTCTCTGAGTCAAGCTGACAAGACAATCAGTGGGAATAAAAAAGCTTTGGCAAAACAAATAGCCAGTCGCTTTATCCTTCGCAGATAACGCTGCCCCAACGACCTCCAAACACACATTCTTTTCAAGTATACATGTAACATACATGAATGTACTGCACAGCCTGAGCAATAAACCAAAGGTTAGCACATCCCAAAAGGTTAGTATTCTTTACTTCATGAATGTTTGCTGGCTGGTAAGTGAAATGTGTGTGCCTGGTGTTTAAGGTGGCTAGAGAGGGTGCAGGACCCCTGGAACTAGTGTTAAGAGGTAGCTGTGAGCCCCCCTCATGTGGGTGTTGAAAACTGAACTGGGAGCCTCTGCAAAAGCGGCAACTACTCTTAATATTAAACCATCCATGGAGGTTTGAATGCGAAGCTTCCCCCCCCACCCCCGCCCATAGGATCATATGCTTGACCTGTTTGGAAGGATTAGAAGGCGTGGTCTTGTTGGAGGAGGTGTGTCAGTGTCAAAAAGCCATTGTGAAATATTCATGCCAATAAGCCAATGAATCTATAAATGCAGATAACATGGACACATATCTAGAAAAATACAACTCAAAAAAACTGGCTCAAACTGCAATAAACTGAGATGGATATGAGAAGCGGGCTCCCCTCTTCCTGAAGTACAGGGCAGGTGTGAAGCACCGGTAAGGAGCTATTAAAATCTGTCCAAGTCAGCCAGGCATGGTGGTACATACCTCTGATCCCAGCACTCAGGAGGCAGAGGCAGATGGATCTTGTGAGTTCAAAACCAGCCTGGTCTACAGAGTGAATTCTAGGACAACCAGGGCTATGCAGAGAAACCCTGTCTCAAAAAGCAAACAAACAAACAAACAAATCTATCCAAGTCACTGTCGGTGTCAGTGATATGCTAAAGGGGGTTGTTTTAATTTTATTACATTTATTTATTTAGTAGAGAGGGCATGCTGTGGACATGGTGGGCCTGTGTGTACTCTCTTCTTCTGCCATTTGGATGTCAGAAATCAAATTCAGGTCCCTCAGGTTTGGTAGCAGGCACCTTGACTTTCAAAGCCACCTCACTGGCTCCATAGCCTATAAGTCCATCCTGTAAGAGTAGT